CCCTTCCCTGACTCATGCCACACCAGACTGGGTCTGACCTGCTACAATAGAATATACCCCTGGAGGATCAGATGAGGTACCTGGCTTACAGTGAAAAAACAAGGAGCTGAACTGAACCTGGCGTCATTTTAATAGTATGTATTATTTTTTATTGATTTCAGAGAGGAAAGGAGAGATTAAAAAAAAAAAAAGCCCATTGCATGGCTCAGTGGTTGAGCACTGACCTATGAACCACGAGGTCAAGGTTTGATTCATGGTCAGGGCACATGCCTGGGTTGTGGGCTCTTTCCCCAGTGTGGGGGGTGCAGGAGGCAGCTGATTGATGATTCTCTCTCATCATTGATGTTTCTATCGCTCTCCCTCTCCCTTTCTGAAATCAATAAAATATATATATTTTTTTAAATTCAAGCTTTGAAAGTACCATTTGTTACAAAAGATACTTGATCATCCATTGTCATTCACTCACTAACTGTATATTGAATGCTAAGTGATAAAGAATAGACAGGGAAACTGATTTCTGCTCTCAAAGTATGTGTGCACTAGTTAAGAGAAAAGACTAATATTTATGGAGAATGAGAGAGCAAATGATTATTGAAAGGGCGAGGACTACGCCCTCCATCTGCCCCCAGGGTAAGGGCTACGCCCTCCATCTTACCTTGGCCATGTGCTCGGCAAGGCTTCTTCCTGGAAGCCCAAGCTTCTGCTAGCCATACCCAGGACTTCTTTAAACTAATCAATGACAATCAAGGGAAGTCGCCATATATATGACCACATCCTGTGTAACAAGACACCGACTTGCGCCTGGCCAATCGGCAGGGCCCACAGTCCTTTCTCCTCCCCTTACTCCAACCCCCCTATAAAACCTCTCTCCACACAGAGTTGCCCTCGCTGCCACTTGGCTTGCCGTTGCATCGGTGAGTGTGGTGGACGGGGAGCTTGAGCTAGCTCGAATAAAGACTCTTTGCTTTTGCATCGGACTCGGCTGGGCTTTTGGGGATCTTGAAATCTGGGCATAACAATTATATAGTCAGTAGTGTGGTCTTGGATTGTAGGGTTCCAAAGATAAAACCTGTAGGACAGCATGTTATAAGCTGGGATTTGGAAACAAGAGACCAACCAAACAAGCAAAACTGTTCACAGTGTGGGGTACTGGGAAACTAGAGCTTTTTTTCATTTTACATTTCTGAAACCACAGAACTGCTACCCTGAAGAAACAAAGATAATGCCATCTAAGAGCAGATTTTTTATATTCTGCAAGGCCATTTAAGAAATAGCTTCTTTTATAGAAATAGAATGTTTGCTGACTTCAGGTAAATCAACCCCTGGAGAGAACAGACTTACAGTGTAAATACAACCAAAGCCTCCAAAGAAGAAGAAGAAAAAGAAAAGAAATGGCTTCTTTTCGAATACAAATATAAACACATACTTTTTGTCCTGGAGAAGGGAAAGTTTTGTTACTTGAGAAAAACTGAGCATCTCCTAGCGATTCCGTATGCTGAGCTCTGGAGAGGGGCTGGACTAATTTGTATAGGAGTCCAGGGCCTTTTGGTGGGAGGGAAATAAAACTCCTAAGAGTTGAAATTGCCTTGACTCGTTTGGCTCAGTGGGTAGAGCATTGTCTTCCCGGAGCCGATTCTCCTCCTCCTCGCGGTCGCGATCAGGCAAAAAGCTTGTGTCCACATCGGGGTTCTTCCCCAATTTCCTCTTCTTGGCGGCGATCTCTTCCCTTTCCAGCTCCTCCTCATCCAGGGCCACCTCCTCCAGCTCCTCGCTCACCTCCTCCTCCTCCTCCTCACCCTAAAATACATTTTTAAAAAAAAAGATGATCTCAGACCATGCCATGTGGCTCAATGGTTGAGCATCGACCTGTGAACCAGGAGGTCACAGTTCAAAAAAAAAGTTGAAATTCAGAATATATTTCTAGGTTAAGTTGAGTAGCCCCCTGCCCCAGACCAGGAGAATTTACCAAGAGGTGGGCATTAGGGCTCAACACAGGGCCTCCAGTTCTGTGAGGAGGGCTGGTTTTAATATACCATGTGGCTTGGGCTAGAAACCTCCCTAGGTCCAGCCACTTGAATAGGTCCTACTTTGGAGAAGAGTAGCTGAGCGTGTGAATGTGAACTAAAAGCTGTAGCCTTGGAGCCTAACTTTGGGACAGCACAGCGCTGTTCGGTGCCCACTGAACTTTCCTAGGTAAGGGTTCCATTTGTTGTCAGTGACCAAAGCCTGAGGGCTTTCCAGTCTCCCTCTCCACCAGACGGTGGAAACTGCTGTGGACCCTTATTCTAAGAGAGTGGGAAGGGCTCAAAGAAAGGTTTTATTGTCACGACTCTTGGTTGCAAGCCACAGAAACTCAAACTAGCAAATGCAAGACAGGAATTCGTTGGCTCATGAAACGGCAAAATCCAGTAGAGCTGGCTCTAGCCACAGCTGGAGCCAAGACTCAAAGCACGTCATCAGGTCTTGTTCTCCCTGCCTCCCTGTCCTCCTCTGCCTGATCCACGCCGCTACT